CTCGTAACCTGAAATGTTCTATCCGAACCCAAACATCATGTTATTTATTCAAGATATTCGAGTTCGTGTTCACTGACAAGATCTCGATATCTACTTTCCATGTTTATTCTTTAACTAGCAGAATAAAACCTAACAGTGTAAACTGTTCTTTTCGATAAAAGAGGTGCTACAGACATGACCAAATGCGACTTTTTCTCATTAAGCAGTTTTTATCAAACACACTTGAGGAAAATTATAAAAAATAAATGAAATATAATTGTTTGTTCAGTTTAAATCATCAAGAATAGCATTTATACGATTATAAGGTTCAGTCCCATTTCCTGAAAATCATGGAAACGCTCAATAGCGTCTCTCATTAAATTTGTAATAGTTGTACGAGTTTGTTGTTGTTGCTGATGGTCGACAGAAGCATCACTAAGACTTGTATTTCGCCTTTGTTGAGTATTCAATCCTCGACGCCCTCTGGTTATTACTCTCCTAAGTGTTGATCCTCTGTTTGTTGTTGGTCGATTTACAGCCGCTGGTGCCGAATAAGATCTTGATGGCTGCTGTTCTTGTTGTGAAGGTAAAGATGATGATGGTTGAGCAGGTGGTTGAGAAGTAGATGGCTGAGAAACAGATGGAGGAGGTGAATTTTGTTGATTATTTGTGGGTGTAGATCGGTTCGATTCATGTTTGTACTAAAGAAAATTAAAAAATAAACTTAAATTTATATTAAATCAAAAGAAGGAAAAGGAAGGATTGGATGTCTATGGAACACTATTTACTCTCTTATTCTTGTTGCTGTTTGTCTTGATAAAGCCGAAATACCATTTTGTTGTTGAGTAGATTGTGTTTGACTTTCCAATTCTATTTCTTCACGACGTCTAATTTCATCTCGGCTACGGTATATCTGTGGATTAACTTCATATCCGAACGAATTATTCAAAACTTCCTCATCTTCTGCTCCAGGTGGTTGATGAATGAGAGAAGGATGATAGTTGGTCGTTGTTGCTGCTACTGTTTCAACCATTGAGCTATTAATTTGTTGAATTGGACTGGATTGAGATCTGGCTCTGGTTTGTGTTGTGACTGGTGGAGCTGATGTTTGGTTTTGAGCAAACGATGATCGTCGAATTGGCTGAAACTCACTAATTGATGGTAATTCATCAAATACCGGTTGTTAATAGATTATCTCATCATCAATGTCCATCTCTTCTCCTTCTGAACCTCTTCCTTCTTCATCTTTATTTGTATCTGCTTGCTGCTGTTGATATGCATTTTCATTATTGAGTAGACATGGTGATGGTGCTGAGTGTTCAGAGACATCAAGGATTGGTTGTGAATATAGATTAGCTCCTCGTGTTTTACCATGTCGAGGTGCAACAAGTGGTTTAAAATATGCAGCTGTTGCATTAGATGATTGTGTTTTTAAATGTTGTTTAGCTTTTATTTCGGCGGCCCTAAAGATAAACAGATAAATATAAACCCCTGTGTTTTACACAAAAACATTATTTTAAGTTATGTGTAGTAGTCTAAACTGAATAAAAAGTCTATGTATATAACTTTTTCCAAGTTTCAATTTTTATTATCTGTATATTTAACAATGTAAGAAATTTGAAAACTGAAAGCATATGCCTTTTTTTTCTTACAGATAATATACTTTCGTCCAAAAATTTGTATAAGATTTTAACAAACTTAATTCATCAGAAATTAATTTGAAGTGAGCAGATTTGTCTCAGAAAAAAAGAAACACAATTCAATTACTTTCGTCCTTCACGTTAAAGATAGTTTATTATTCTACTTGTAGGTTGAACATCTGACATTCCGTGATATAAATTTTGAACAGATGGTGGTATATTTTGATCTGAACGCAAAATTTGTACATAATCTCTATATCTATTGCCAAGGCGAATTTGACAGTCATATGTTCCTTTAGCTTCTTCAAACGTTATTCTGACTTTTTACTCATCTTTAATATATTTTTGTATTAATAATTGTATATATAATGCACAATATGAGCCAGTATACATAAGTTGCCCGTAATATTTGATTATTAACAAGTAACGCTCATCTTCGATTCACTAACCCTTGACTGAAAGATTCTGGTGCTAACGAACCCGACATGTACGGTGCACGAAATTCGCATCTTACAGAAAATGAATTTTGTTGTCTTCGGTATG